TTTTGAGTTGGTTTTTATATAAGGTGTGAGGTGAAGGTCTTGTTTCAGTCTTTTGCGTATTGTTTTCCAGTTTTGCCAGCATCATCTGTTGAAAAAACTATCCCCTCCCCATGTGATATATTTAGGTACTTTGTGGAGAATCAGTTGACTGACTGTATGTGGATGGGTTAATTTCTGGGTTCTCAATTTTGTTCCATTGATCAGTTTATCTTTCATTGTACCAGTATCTAGCTGTTTTGACCACTGTAACTGTATAATTTTGAAGTCAAGGAGTGAGAGGTTGCCAACCTTTTTCTTCTTAAAAAATGCTTATCATGAGTCTCTTTCCTTTCCATATAAAGTTTGTAATTGTTTTTTCCATCTCTTTGAAGAATATCGTTGGAATCTGGATTCGGATTGCATTATATGTATAAATTGCTTGGGACAGTATTGACATTTTCACAATCTTAAGTCTTCCTATCCAGAAGCATGGTACATTCTCCCATTTTTGTAAGTCTCTTTTGGTTTCTTATAGTAGTGTTTTGTAGTTTCCTTTGTATAAGTTGTTTGTTTCTCTGGTTACATTTATTCCTAGATATTTCATCTTATGCAGCTATTGTAAATGGTATTGCTTTCCTAATGTCCATTTCAGCACTGTCATTATTGGTATAGAGGAACCCTACTGATTTTTGTATGTTGATCTTATATCCTGCCACTTTGCTGAATCTTCCAATGAGGTGTAGTAGCTTTTTTGCTGAGTCTTTAGGGGTTTCTATGTATAGGATCATATCATCTGCAAATAGAGAGAATTTACTTCCTCTTTGCCAATTTTGAGGTCTAGTAGCTTTTTCACTGAGTCTTTGGGGTTTTCTATGTATAGGATTATATCATCTGTAAATGGAGAGTTTTACTTCCTCTTTGCCAACTTGGATGCTTTTAATTTCCCTGTCTTGCTGTATAGCTCTTGCTAAGACTTCCAGCACAATATTGAATAGGAGTGGGGACAAAGGGCTTCCTTGTCTGGTTCCTGTTTGCAGAGGGAAGGCTTTCAGTTTCTCTCCATTGAGAGTAATGTAGGCTGTTGTATATGCTCTTAATTGTGTTGAGGAATTTCCCTTCAGTTCCTACTTTGTTGAGTGATTTTATCAGGAATGGATGTTGGGTTTTGTCAAATGCCTTTTCTGCATCAATTGATATGATCACGTGGTTCTTTTCTTTTATCTTATTTATATGGTGGATAACGTTGATCATTTTTCTAATGTTGAACCATCCTTGCATCCCTGATATGAATCCCACTTGATCATGATGTATTATCTTTTTGATGTGTTGCTGGAGTCTGTTTGCTAGGATTTTGTTGAGAATTTTTGCGTCTATGTTCATGAGGGATATTGGTCTGTAATTTTCTTTCTTAGTGATGTTCTTTCCTAGTTTTGGTGTGAAGGTTATGCTTGCTTCTTAAAATGTAATAGAAAGTTTTCCATCCTCTCCTATGTCTTTTGATTCCATTTTTCCACGAATTGTTTTGAAACCCCCTTATAGTGTTATTGTTGTTGTTGTTGTTAAGTACTGTTGAATCAATTCCAACTCATAGCAACCCTGGGTAGGGTTTCTAAGGCCATAAGTCTTTGCAAGAGCAGAAAGCCTCATCTGTCTCCTAAGGAGTGGGATTATTTTACAGAGCCACTGCTTTTAAATCTGAATTAAAATCTAGTCATGACAGGTCAAACTCTAAAAATTGGTTTCTTTGTTATATCTAGCAAGTAAGCAAACCATCAGTGACTCAAAAATTGAAAATGAAATTTGCATAGGGACCACTAAAATATAGCATAGCAAGTAGAAATATGGTAACAGGAAGCACTTTAATGGAACTTTAAATACTTTAAAGTAGTCCCAGTAGAAATGTGAAGAATTTATCACCAAGAAATTTGTATTGCTCATGAAAATTATGGGCCAACTGAGATCTGACTCATTGTTTTGTGTTTTATAAGACGTGTTATGACAGGAAGAAACTGACATTTTAGCATTCAGCAGAGATTCTTCTTTCTTCGGACCTGTTCCCAACCTAACTTGGTCTCTTCTTCATTGCCAATTCCTGGTCCTGACCTTACCATGTGGAATGCAGACCAAATGGAGAAAGCAATGTCTCTAGGCCAATGTTAGATGTTGACAATGAAATAAAACATTGCTCTTTTCCTCATGTGTAGAAGCAGTACAAGGCCAGAAAGAAAGATGATAGGTGAAAGTAAATGGTTTCTGTGTGTTCTTAATGCTGATGCAAAAAAGTATTTGTGTTAATGTAGGTCTCTCTGATGTGAGTTAAAAGTCAGTGGAAGATTATTGGAGCGGAAGTCTGTAACTGCCCAGTCTGAAGTTACTTCTGACATTAAATGACATATCAGGAATTTTTTTTCCTTAGGCCAGGTACTCTAGCAGTGTGCCTAGCTAATCTCTAAGATAATGACTGTCATCACTTAATTTCTTAAAATCCCACTTCTATCCTGAATTGAAATGATGAAGTCTCACTTTCAGTGACTTAAATGGTTGGTCAGATGTCTCAACATGCATTTCCTGACATTTGGCTCTGTCACAGCTCTTGTGCTGACTGCCTGAAATACAAAAGACCAATAAAACATTTTTCTACCTTCAAAGAACTCTCACTCATCCCCTGGGAGAAGTTAGCAAAAGTTGAGGAACTTTGCTTTAAGTGCAAGCTTTTGAAAAGGCTGAATGGGTTATGCATTCCCAATATGGTATGTTACATTACAGAGTTGTATGAAACAGGGACATCTACAATGATTGGGGAAGATGAGATGAATATTTTATTTCTTTAATAAGCCATACAAACTGGCATTTCTTTGCTTGGCCTTGGATCAGCTACTTGTCTGGTGTTGCTAGTTAGTATTATTAAAATTTATTCATAAGCAACTGTAAAGGCGGACCACAGGCTATAGGAGCCAGTGGAGAGTTCCACATTCCCTCCATATTTTAAAACATGGCTTGCTCTGACTGGGAGAGCTTGCCAGGAAATATGTTAATACTTGATGCTCTTACCCTTGATTCAGTCAATATTTTTTATTGTGTTAGGTGCTGTTGAGTTGGTTCCAACTTACAGTGACACTACTCACAGAACAAAACTCTACCTACCTGGCCCTGTGCTATCCTCACAATCGTTATGCTTGAGCCCATTGTACCAATCCATCTCATTAGGGTTCTTCCTTTTTTTCACTGAACCTCCATTTACCAAGCATGATGTCATTCTCTAATGACTGGTCCCTCATGGTAACATGTGTGAAGTATGAGAGACAAAGGGTCGCCATCCTTGTTTCTATGAAGCACTCTGGCTTTACTTCTTCCAACACAGATTTGTTTGTTCTTTGGCAGGCCATGGCAGTACTTTTAGTATTCTCCTACAACACCATGACCCAAATGCATCAACTCTTTGATGGTCTTCATTATTCATTGTCCAACTTTTACATGCATATGAAGCTATTGAAAATACCATGGTCCAGGTGCACCTTAGTCCTCAAACTGACATCTTTGCTGTTGAACACTTTAAAGTGGTTTTGTGCCACAGATTTGCCTAATGCAGTATGTCATTGGATTTCTTGGCTGCTGCTTCCATGAGTGTTAATATCCAAATAAAGTGAAGTGTTGGACAACTTCAATCTTTTCTCCATTATCATGATATACATTGGTCCAATTGTGAGGATTTTTGTTTTGTTTACATTGAGGTGCAATCCGTACTGAAGGCTGTGGTCTTTGATCTTCATCAGTAGCTATTTTAAGTCCTCGTGGCTTTCAGCAAGCAAGTTTTTATCACTTGCGTATCGCAGGTTGTTAATGAGTCTTCTTCCAATCCTAATGTCACGTTCTTCATATATCCAGCATATCAGTCCCTCAGAAGTGAAGGTTTTTAAAAACAAGGGATAACCATTTGATTTCCCAAGGATGGCAAAACTACTAATCTTTTATTTATTTTTTTGGTGTGTTCTCACTCTGTTTTAAATTAGGATGCTTTTTCAAAAAAAGCAAGAATATTCATTACGGTGTGATAGAAGACACCTGATTTCAACTCTAGCTCTGTTACTAACTTAAGTGCTGTTGAATCAGCTCTGATTCATATTCAATAATCCATGCAAATTTTTGTTTATGATATTGATTGCAATGCCTCCAGTGTAACAGCACTCTTCCAACTTCCTCCCTGCTTACCTGTGTGTCCTCTCCTATCCCTTCCTGCCTTCTGAGCTTTATCCCTGGGCACATGCTTCCCTTTGATCCTGTATGGTTGATTATTCTATGGAGTGTATACCTCTCTGGTGTTATTGTTCAGTTTTATGCCTGCTTATAAAGATGAGCCACAGTCTTAGAGTTTCTACCAATCTCTATTTTTAATCAGTTTGAGTTTTATTCCCCATTTGTATCCCACTCTAACCTAGACTTTCTGTTGTGATCCCTGTCAGAGTAATTGGTAGTGTTAGCGAGGCACCATCTAGGTCTGCTCTCATGGTCATGGAGGCTGAGGTTCACGTAGTCCTTTAGTCCTTTGGCCTGAGTAATACTTTCCATGCATGTTTGATTTTCTTCACTTTTTGCTCCTGGCTTTTTAGGGTTGTTAATGGCAGATTTTGTTAAAGTAGATCTGCAGGTTTTTCTTCTGAGCACCTCTGGGTGGGTTTGAACTGGCAGCCTTTTGGTTAGCAGCTGAGCATGCTAACCATTTGTACAATCCAGAAATTCCTACTAGCTGTACAACCTAGGACAAATCACTTTCTCCAAATACCTGCTTCTTTATTTAAATTATAGTTCTAAGTAATTTCTAAAGTCCATTTCTAATATAAAATTATCAGATTTTATAGTATTAGGGTTAAAATTTTTGGGAAGAATTTGAAAGCAATGCTTTGCAATTGACACTAATGTGAGGTTTCTGTCACCAGATACAGCGCCATACAGTGTGCAGCTGCAGTCTGTAGAGCACCTGCTGACTTCTCATCTTCCGAAAAGCATGAGCAGTCCAATCTTCAGGTATCGAGTGAGACACAAGCCAATAACGGGTGGACCACCAATGGTCACGGACCACCTGTTTCCAGACAGGTCTCCCAGCAGCCCAAAGGAATTATGGGAATGTTGGCTGCCAAAGCTGCTTCTAAAACTCAAGACACTAATAAGGAAAGCAAGACAGAGGCTAAAGAGGTAACAAGTATAAATTTTTAAAAGATAATGCCTTTCCTGCTTAAAATGGGTAATTAGAAAAGCTTTCATATTTGCAGTGAAGATGTTTTAGTTATATGTCATTGTTGTTAAGTGCTGCCAAGTCCATTCCAACTCATGGTGACACTGTCTAGCATTTCCAAGGAGCAACTGGTGGGTTTGTACTGCTGACCTTGCAGTCCAGTGCATTTAATTATATTGTTGTTGTTGTTAGGTGCCGTCGAGTCGATACTGACCCATAGCGACCTTATGCACAGCAGAACGAAACACTGCCCAATCCTGGGCCAACCTCACTACTGTTGCCACGCTTGAGTCCATTGATGCTGCCACTT